CTCTCCGCCCCCCGCCCCATCTGTGGTCTTCCCTCACAGAACCCGCCCCCAGAGCCTGGGCCACGGCTTGCCCACACTGACCTGTACCCACACCTGTAGTTGGGAGGGAGAATGTCCCCAGCTCCCCTGTACCCTGCCTTCGCCCCTACCCTCATTCTGGGGGCTGAGACAGGGGCATGCAGGAGAGGTCTTGTGTTAGCTGTGCCCCCAGAAGGACCGTCTCTCACAGTTGTTATACTTTAGGAGACGGGCCTACAGACCGGCTAGAACCAGATTCAGATTTCACGTAGGGCCCGGAGAGAGGGGGAAGGCTGCAAGGCCTCAGGCTCCAAAGGCAGCCCAGGGACTTGAGGGCGGGTGCCCTGGGCCTCTGCAGGGTGGGGGCGGGCACGCTCCCCCCAGCCAGGCTTGGTCCTTGCAAATGCAGGGCCCGGGCCCCAGGAACCCTGGTTCTGCCTGACCTACCGGGAGGCTGGGGGTGAGTCACACCCCTCTAAGCCTCAGTCTCCCCTCTGGGTCAGGAACCTGCCCCGTGTCATCACCTCCCTTGCCTCACATCTGCCTGAGCCCCTCCCCACTGCCAGCCTTGCCCAGGATTCAGGATCCGGGTCTGCCCTTTTCTCTCCCGGCTGGACACCTGCCTGTGTGAACAGCGAGCAGTGAGGCCCCACTCAACCCTGGTCCCCTCCTCCAGGAAGCCTTCATTCATGCTCTCGGCCAACCAGCCTACCCTGTGCTCCCGCTCTGGGCAAGGCCCCACGCTGTGCCCCCGGGGGCCATCAGAGCTGGCATAGTCTTGGCATCTGCCACACGTCAGGGAGTCCCAGGCTTATGACAAAATAGGGTGCTGGTGGAGGAGGGGCAAGGAGTGGAGATGGGGGTGGCAAGGAAGGACCAGTTAGGTCTGGACGAGCCTCTGTCAGGCGGAACTCTCTAAGATGGCCCCTGGGTAAAGAATGGTGGGTGACAGGGCCCACTAGAGCAGGAAGCTGCAGGTGCAGGCCTGAGGGACAGGCGGAGGGTGGCTTCCGGGAGGTGACGGATGCCAGCCAGGTGGGTGTGGGGGGAGGTGGCCTGGGAGGTTGGTGAGGCCTGGGAGGTGGTGGCCGCACAAAGGAGGTGGCAGGCGGGCGGCCCCTGGGTGGGCAGAGGGGCCGGGAGCTGGGGAGGAGGAGTGTGAGTATTCCCTTTGTGGGGCCTCACCTCCATCTGCAAAGTGGGGACGTCTGCCTCAGGGCTGCGGGAAGACTCACTGGCGAGGGGCGCGAGTCAGCAGAAGGAGTGGGCTGAAGGGCACTGAGGCTGCCGGAAGGAGTGGTGGGTGCTCACCGTGGTGGGGGGCGGGCGGCGGGGGCTCTAAGCCCACCTGCAGGGGCGGGGGCGGGGCTTCCTGCACCGTCCAACGCGTCTCGTGCTGCCAGCCCCGGGCTTGTGCCGGGAGAATGGTGGCCCCGGTGGCCCTGGGATAAACCAGTAAAGAGGGCAGACGTGGGCTCTGCCTCTGGAGCTCACAGCAGCCAGACATCCCGGGAGGTTCCTCTGAGCCCAAGCGCGAACCCCCTGCGGTCAGTATAATAACAGCTCCCTGAAACGTCCTTAATTCCCCATGACCCTGCATGGCAGAGGCGACTCTGCAGATGCGATTAAATTAAGGCCCCTGAGATGGGAGCTTGTCCTGGATCATCTGGGTGGGCCCGATGTGGTCACAAGTTTCCTTAAAAGTGGAGGAGAGAGGTCAGAGAAAGAGACGGGAGCAAGGTCAGGGAGATGCAATGCTACCGGCTTTGAAGACGGAGGAAGTGGCCAAAAATCAAGAAATGTGGGCGGTTCTAGAAGTTTCTAGAGCTTCCAGAAAAAAAATGCAGCCCTTGCTGACACCTTGATTTTAGCCCGGTGAGTCCTGAGTCCGGTCTCTGGCCTGCGGGAGACAACGAATTGTGCTGTTTTAAGAGACCTAAGATTGCGGTAGCTTGTTCGCAGCAACAGGAAGCTAACACGGCATCCAACCCACGTACACTGTGGGGAAGGGACTGACCGAAGACCCGGGCTGACACGAACAACAAAACAGCGCCTCATCAGTCTTGCTGTGAGTGGGGCCCCAGGGGCCCCGGCAAGCTTAGCGGGGTGTTCAGGGGCTTCGCACAAGTCGGCCAGATATTTGAAATTTATCACTCCAACCCTCAAGCCCAAATATTTCAATTGATTTTAATGTCAACAGAAAATCCCTTACGTATTTGGAGCCTCTTGAAAGGAAACGTAACCGCCCCTGCTCTTCGCCTGTGCTCGGTGACTGGGGGTAACTACAGACAGCAACGGCTGGGTGCAGCCGGGACCCCAAGGGTGGGGCAGGGCTCTGTAGCCCTGAATGGCCCCAGGCTGTTCTGTGACAGACCATCACCCTCTCTGTGGCACGGAGAAGGGGGTGTCACCCCGAGGCTGCAGAACCAGTCTGTCGTTGACGTGGGGCACCACGGACAGGGCCGGGGTGGCGCATGCTCACGGGGCCTCACGGGGCCGCCAAGCGCCACCCTGCGCTCAGTCTTATCCTACCTCCCTAAAAACGAGCCCTGTTGACACAGGAAGGTCACTGGCATCTCAGCCACCGGGGGACTGCAGCACGCGTGCCCTGCTCTGGCGGAAGCCTGTACCGTGACTATAATGGGCACTGCTCATAGCAGACGGTTTCCAGGGCATTCCGGCTCTGCCTTTCCTCGCTAGTCTCTGCCCTCTCAGGAGGATCCGGGTCAAGGGGGGCAGACTCTGGAGCTGGGTGGCCCAGGGTCGGACCTTGCCCTCAAACCCTTCAGTGTCTTGCCTCCCTCATCTGCTCCTGGGCCACAGAACAAGGTCCTTCCCTCTGCCTGTTCTACCGCATCCCCTCCAAGGACCCCAAAGAGGGCTCACGTGCCCACCAGCCACAGGCTCCGTCACACCGGCCAACGATGCCCATCCAACTCTGGTTCCCTTCACGGTCTACGCTGCTCTTTCCACACAGGGCTGGGCTCTGAATGTGATGCCCCAGGCGTGCTCTGACCAGCACAGGGGACAACGGGGCTGGCGACCTCCCTCGTTCTCCATTGTCGTGCCTCCGTTCACACAGCCTGGGAGCAGCCGTCCTCGCCAAGTGCTGCTAATTAGAGCCTGAAGTTCAGTAGGATCCCAAGTCTGTCCCACATGGGCTGCTCTCAGAGGAGACAGGTGCTAAGAATTACGGGCTCTCGAGGGAGGGGCTCACCAGTGCTCTAGACGGCGCCTTTCATGGAACCCTCAAGGATGGTTACTTAGCTCTGGGTCCTGGAGAGTCGTGGGCACGCCTGCTCGCTGAGGCCTTCAAGCCCACCCCGTGGCCATTTCCAGCCCTTCCCAGGCCAGCCCAGACAGCCCAAGTCAACATGACAGTCCCGTCCAGAGAGCTTGTGGAGAGGGGACTTCCAGACAGAAGTCCCGTCTGCCCGTGTGACCAGAGGCGAATCCTCCAGACCCCCTGGACCCTAGCGTTCTTGTTTGAGAAGCAGGGCGATGCCTGTCTTGCCCGGCATGGACTTCAGGCTTCACAGAACACTGTCAGCCCGGCTCTCCTCTGCTCCTCGAAGCTCCACCAGGGAGGGGGTCCTCAAGCCTAGTTCCCAGCACGAAAGGCCCCGTCCCTCCCGTGGCCCCATTTACGTTTCCCTTCTTCCTAGATGCCTGGACTCTTTTGAGGTCCGTATGAGGACCATGAAACTAGGTGACCTCTCCGGGACCCCGAGGCTCTGACTTCCACGGCCCCGGGACCCTGACGCTTAGGATGGGCCACACAGCCGTGACCTTCGGGCTAAGCTCAGCTGCGAAGGGTAGTATGTGACTGCGGGCAAGCCAGAGGACCCCACGAACTTCAGTTTCCTCCTCTGGGACATAGGAAACGTACCACCTGACCCACAGCGCCCCAGGCTGGTGTGCCACAAGGAAGGGTGTGACAGTCCCAAGCGACCCTACGGTTGTGCTCCAGAGGCCCGGGCAGCTGGCACCGCTCAGGGGCCAGCAAGCACAGAACTGGAGAGCTGAGGGCAGGGGGATGGATGAATGAGGGGCAGACTTGCCCCGTGCTTCCGCAGCCTGAGCTCGATGGACGAGCAGCCAGCCGGGTCCTCCTCCTCCTCCTCCTCCTCCTCCCCCCTCCCCTGCTCAGGGTCAGCCACACCAGCAGGCCGCCCGGGCCACCCTGGGCAGCGCCAGCCGTTTCCGGGCGAGCCTCCCTAGAATCTGGGTCCAGCCCGGGGCCAGTGTCTGGAGCGCAGCCGCCATCACACCTGCCCCCTCAAGACAAGCGGGGGCCTGAAGCGGGACCGGCACAAAATGGGCCAGGGCTGTCCCCGTATGCCCACCTCAGGCTGGGTCGTTCACAGAGTCAGGAGCCTTGGGGCCGGAAGGGGCCGAGTGAGTCTTGCTTTGACCTTAACGGTCCTCTCCTCTCTGGGTAGCAGATTTCCCAACTATCAAGCAGGCCCCGGAGATCCCCTGGCCCTGAATCTAGATGGGTCTTTTTCGCCCTGAGCGTGGCTTCCCTCCTTGGCAAGGAGACCGAGAGGCACTGTGCTGCCTGAATCGCTGCTCTGCGCTAATGCCCTCCTTTGCTTCTGTGTCTCAGTGTCGCTTTGCTGACCTCGGGGCTCCCGACAGCCAATGTGGGCATTTACGGTGGGTAGAGGGGTCTCCTTACCCGCAGAGGCCCCCAGACACTGGCTCTGGGTTCTTTGCTACAAACACACAGAGAGATACACGTGTTTGGTGAAGGGCAAAACCTTTAACGAGGGAAAAGCGAGTTCACATCTGGAGTGGAGCCCCCTCCCCCCCCGCTCGGACACGGCACGCGCGGGCACACGCCGGGGGGGGCCCCCCCCCACGCACGCACACCCCGCACGCCAGCACGCACTCCCGGCCCCACACCGCAGCACGCACGCACGCGCACGCACACGGACAAGGGTGCAAGTACAACAAAGGAAGTGGAAGAAAAGTGTTACCCATGAGGAGCCGCCGTTTCACCCGCTTGTCCACATCAGCTACTGACGTGGCATTGAACTGAGAGCGCTCAATTGCAGCCTCATCCTTCTCTAAAACACAAGTAAGGGACAAACACGGAGCCGCTGGTTAATGAGAGCCCACTTCCCGCGGCCCAAGACAGTCAGCCTCCCGGCGTGGCGCACACACAGCCAACACGGCGTGCCGGGCCGGCGCGGCGTCTGCGCCGAGGGGCCGATCCCGGGAACCTCCAAGGGCGTGGTCAGGGCAGGGGCGAGGAGGCGGCAGGGTGGGGGGGGGGGGTGCGGACCGGGGGCGGGGGCGGGGGCGGGGCGACCACACGAGGGCACAGACGGGACGCGGGGCCCATCTGCCGACAGACAGAGCAGGCGGCTTGAGGTCAGAGTGGACGGACCCAGCCGCGGGGGGCCGCGGAAGCAGACGGCACGGCCTCAGCGCTCGGGCAGACACACGTGACTGCAGACACCCCGGCTCAGGCTGGACGGGCAGGCACAGGACGAGGCACAGGACAAAGGGACAGGGCCGCGAGGTCCGGTGATGGCTGTGCCTGCACAGCAGACGCCCCGTCTCGAGGGCACGGACGTGCGTCAGACACTCATGCAAAGTTAAGAACAAAACACCCGGGAGAACAAACACACGCACAGCGATGGACCCGGTCCGACGGACAGACAGACAGACAGACAGAACAGGGGCTCGATTGGGGCAGCGCTGGTTGCCTGCTTGTCTATAGAGGACTAGAGCGAGACATTCAAGTGCTTGACAGGGGCCGCGAGAGGGGCCAGTCATCTCAGGAGCGTGCGGAGAGAGAGGCGGGCCGGCCGGCAGCATCCTGGCCGTCGGGCAAGACGCTGTGCCCCGATGCTGCCCTTGGAGGCGCACGTGAGGTTAGTGGCCAGGAGGTCCTCGGCTCGGCCGGAGGTGTGTGGGGACACGGGCTCCCGAGGGGGGGGGAGCCCGCGCGGCGGTGAGCGGAGGCACACGGGTGGTTCTCCTGGCCCGCGGGGGGCGATGGCCCAGGAGCTGGGTCCGGAGGAGGAGGACCGCTAAGGGGAGGGGCGGGAAAGAGGGGGCGAGGGAGGTTACGTCAGAGAGGAGAGTTAGGCAGGGGCCTTGACATGCGGCAGACGCTAAAAGGTAAAAAAATGAGGAACGACGAGGCAGGTGGACAGAGACAAGATGCGTGAGACGAGGCTGGGTGGGTGTCTGGCCGGCGGCTGAGTGCGCTGGTCCCGTGGCCGGCGGGGGCCGCTGCGCTGCAGACACAAACAGGGAGGGCGACCCAGCAGACAGACAGGAAGGGGCTGGGGGGCCCTGGGGGGGCCCCCCCCGGCAGGACAGTGGAGACAGGGAGAGAGGCGGGAGAGGGGGGGTTCTAGATGGGATCAGGCTGCAATAGAGACACTAGTCTGAGACCAGGTTTTGCTTTGAAAAAAAAAAAAAAAATTTTTTTTTTTTTTTTCGTTTTTTGGTTGTTTCGTTCGGTTTGGCTTTTGGCTCTGAAAATGCTTAATGAACGTCGGTTATCAGACAAGACAGGCAATCAGGGACCATCACCAGAAAAGCAGGAGGAATGAGATAAGATGAAACCAAAACGGCCGTCTGAGAGGAGACCACACAGAGGAAGGGAGAACCACGCAGGTAGCAGCCCCTGGGAGACAGCCGGGACCAGGCTGAGACGCTGGGGGCCGGCCCCGGCCCCGGCGCCCCCGCTCGGCCCCTCACAGGACGAGGGAGCAGTCGCGGGGACAGAAGGCGGCAGCAAACTCTGGCTCCCCGGCCCTGCCTGCTGGCCACTCCTTGTGTGAATATCTTCAGAGTCAGTATGAAGAGACGCCCCCCGCTCCCGCCCTTAAAAAGAATAGACGTGACCACCGACCGTGGGCTTCTAAGGCTGGCTGACGTTGGAGGGAAAGAAAGCAGAGGATGGACAAAGGTGGGTGGGTGCCAACTTTGAATTCTTCTTTTTCTCAGCTGGAAGATGTGCTGTTATGTTTGGGTGGGAAGCTCCGTTAGCTCAGGAGCGGAAGCAGCTAAAAACACCCAGAGTCCCCCCCGCCCTACCCCGGGATTCTTCCGTCCGTCTCCCCTGGTGTAGACGATGAAGACTTAGAGCCGCTTTCTGAGCAAACCCCTTGGCTTTCTAGACTGTGGCGGGCAGCTCACGTCGCTAGTGGGGCCAAGATGCAGGTTAGGCGTATGTGCTGTGCGTCCCCGTATCGGGAGGGAAACCCCTGCGCTTTAAAGACAGAAGGTCCCCTCCTCGGGCGCACACACCTTCCTCCTCCCCACAGGCCACCCCCCTGTTGAGGAGGAGGACCCGCAGAGAGCCCACAGTGACACGGAGCGGAGGTGCTTGGTCCTGGGTGGCTGGATGGCCCTGGGTAAGTCTCTACAGAAGGCTTCCCTCGGGGACGTCTGCCGGCCCCCTCGGTGGGGACCTGGGTGCTCCTTTTCTTGCTCCCTCAGGCTCACTTCCTGGGAACCGGGCCGCGGTGGGGTGCTGGCCAACGGCAGGGCCACACGGTGCACCCTGGGGGGGCGGGGGGGCGCACGGGTGCCAGTGCCGGGCACACTTACTTACCGATGCACGTCCGACCGTCTGAGTGGAGGGCGTACTTCTGGTGGCAGCCACACATGGGGCCCGTGTCTGTGTCCTCACAGCTGTGCTGGCAGCCTCCGTTTCCATAGTTACAGGTTACTAGTTAGGCCCAAAGCGTACATACGTGTGTATAAAAGGAACAACAACAAAGAGGATTAGTTTATCGGTGCTGGTTGATTCTCTTAAGGGATGGGGCGGGGTGCAAAGTGACGGCATAAGATAAACAGCGAGTAAGCACACGTTTCCCTGCACTTCAGCCCCACCAGGGTCTTGGATGGGTTTGCTCGCTCCCTGGGCGTGAACTGGGGTAGGACGGGTGGACTCGGGTCGCGTGGGCTTCAGGGCCGGCTCCAGCTGACAGACGCGGATGGTGTTCGGGGAAGAAAGCGCTAGGGGAGACAATTTTATCCTTCCTAGGTTCCAGGGGCACATCGACACTGCCTGTCTGGACGGGACAAGTGTCTGTTAATGCCGGGCATGCCCTGCCAGGCGAGGGAGGGAGGTGGCGGGCCCGTGGCGAGGGGGACACTCATTCCGCGTGCGGGAGGGTGTCCCCACGGAAGTCTGCTCCCTCCTAGTCCCAGCGGCCGTCTCCACCCGTATCCCCTCAGAGCCCGGATCCCCCGGAGGCAGTGTTCAAACAGACAGAACATATGCACGTTAATGTCATCTCAGGTGCGCTTTTGAGAATGACCTCTTATGGAAACACGTCACGTAGTTTGCAGCGTCTCACAGAGTCTTAGAACGTTTCACGGCATCAGCGACCCGGGTCGGCTAAAAGGGGGCCGAACAAAACACAGCCAGTCTGAGGTAGGAGAAGGTAAATTCTGGTTTATTTAAAAGAAAACCGCTTGTTATCCCGTCTCAGGGTGAGAAGTATAGCCGAAGGAGATCCGAGATCTCTGTGCGAGGGGTTCTCGCAGCCCCCGCTTTACTCAGCTCGTAAGATGACAGGGTGCCCATCGCCTGTATGCAAACGGTGCCCCAGGGCCTTGAGGACGGGCTGTCTTCCTGGCACCTTAACCACTTATCTAGAATTCTATCTTACGCTCTTCATGTATTTGGCAGAACCCCAGTGATGATCAAATATGCAAAAATAAATCTCAGGCCAACCACCGTCGGAGGGGCCGAAGATTCCGGAGTGGCAGTCTGGATTAATGACGCTCCTTCGGGTGGCAGCTCCCCACGACGGGTCCCAAGCATTCCAGAACCGAGGCCCGCGGCCGCCTCTCCCAGGCACCCCTCTCACCCAGGGCACGGCATAGAGCCTCCAGGGCGTCTGTCCCCAGCGATGGCGGGGACCCTGTCAGCCTGGACACGTGCCGTCTCCCTGCCGGCTGAGGAGGACACGAAGAGAGTGGCTTCTGCTCAGTGTCTCAGATGCCGTCCTTGCAACCAGGGACAGGCTCTGCTGGGCTGCCTCTGCCACAGGGAGCTAACGTCCCGTCTGGAGGAGGAACCCAACCTCCGGGGTGACATTTCGAGGACGTGCACAACTCTTCAGGAAGCACAACGGGGACTTGGAGTGCGGAGCCCCTCTGGCCCCTTCTCCACAGGAGCATCTCTTCTCTCAGCTTTCCCGGGGAGCCCGGCAGCCTCCCGTCTCTGAAACAGCTCAGCTCTCTGCCTAGGAAGAGCCCCGGGGAAGCCAAGGGCAGAGGCGGCCACAGATTTCAGGTGAGGGCAGAGCCCCAGGCACAGCCCCGCCTCGGGCTGGACGTCACGCACCTCCCCAGATTGAGAGAAGCTTCGTTTCACAGAGGGCAGGGGTGCAGGCGTGAGGAGGCCGTGAGGACACCGCAGACAGTTGTTTCCAAGCTCTGGGCTTCAGGAGATGGGCCGCGCCCTGCAAACGACTCCGAGGGCGAAGGTCTGTCTGAGGCAAGCTGGGGGAGGGCCGTGCTGAGGGCCCCGTGCTCCCCCACACGGGCGTGCCCGCATCTCATGGACCGTGGGGGCCGGGCTAGTGAGCACCGAGAGCGCCCACAGCTTGTACGTGGAAGTGCGTGCTGGCACCTTGAGCTCCGGGACCACCAAGAAGGGATGGAAAAAGCCCCTCTGGCCCCGGCGTGGGCCCTGCACTCTGGATAGAAGAGTTGGGTGCCGAGGCCCTGCGGTCCTGCTGGCCCACGGAGGCGGGCTAAGCCCCCAACCCAAATCCGGATGTAAAACTTCCTAGACCTCAGTCGGCCTCAAGGGCCGGGGGGAGAGCCTCAGAGCCAACTTTATGCTAACCCTCCCTGCACAGGAGGGCTGCGGTCACCCATTCCTTGCCCCCAGGACCGGTATCCGATTCTATAAACACCTTGGCTATACAGAGCCCCCGCCAGCAGAGAGGGCGGGGCTTCTATTTCTTTCACCAGGAAACATGCGGGTCGAGGGCTTGAGTCTTCTCGCTGAAGGGTGGGGAGGTGGGGGGGGGGGTTACTTCCCGGCTCACAGAGGGCCCTGCCTTGTCCCTGACCTCTCAGATCAGCTCGGCCCCTCGGAAGACGTCCTCTGAGCAACCTGTCCCCTTGCAGTGCTCATCCCAGACGGTTCAGTGGGTCCCAGCCACCGCCTGTGGCTCACAGAGCTCTCTCCCCAGCACCCAGCTCAAGGCTTGGCCAGTCTTGCTGTGGAAGGAACACTCTTTACTTCTGGCTGAGCCTGTCAACAAGCCTGCCCGGTGCACACGTGCTTGTCCCTGGCCTTGGTCCGGAGGACTGAGAAAGCTGCGATTCTGCACTCTCGGTTCTGAAGGGCACCAGGCGCAGCGGGTTTCTCTGTAGTTAAAGGAACTGTCCGATGCAGAGGACAGAGGGCCTGGCAAAGTCCTGGGGCTGGAGCCGGGCACTCGCCCGTGGTGACCGCCCACACGCTCATCTGTGAGGCCCCACAGGAAAGGCCGGCCACAAGGAGGGAGGCTGCCCGCATCTCGGGACGTGCCTGGGGAGAAGGAAGCATCTCCACTTCGGGGAAAGGACGCATCACGAGTGGGGGCTGGAGCACGAGCTCCTTGGAGACAGGGACTATGTCTAGTGCATGTGGGTCCCCAAGACCTTGGTGACTGAGGAGCATGGGCTGGGAAAGGTGTGGCGGCCACCCACAGAACAGCTGATGACAGTCACGGACTAAGGTCGACAGGCCGGCGAGGGCCAGCTGTCTTCTCCACAGAACGAAGGATGGAAGCAAGGCCAGTTTCTCTGTGAGCGCTGGTCAGCTCAGTCTCCTGTTTCAGTGGCAAGGCTGGGGCTGCTTTCTCTACCGGGAATCAGATTCGGACTCCTCCACACCTTTCTCTGCGTCACAGAGCGGGGCTGGAATGAAGCAGGAGTCTCTGGCCAGACGTGGGCAGCAGGCGCACCGGCCTCCCTCAGCTCTTCGTACACACAGAGCAAACGCGGCACCACGGTGGGCATCCCAGCTGCCCAGTGAGCCGAGGCTGAACCTGCCACTCCCCACGCAGCTGCTGGGAGCTGGGTCTGACGCTCTTGGGGACTCGTGTGTTCGGCCACGGTCCTGCTTCGTTTGCGGGCTCCCAGTCCTCCCGGGGAGGACCACATTAAGGGGCTGAATGACACCTGTGCCCCGTGGGCTGACCTCCAAGCTGGTCCTGAATGGCACCTTTGGCCAGAGGCCTCATTCAACCCAGATCTCCCAGGGAATCACCATTTACAGTGGGCCCCTCGGGGGCAGCCTGCAAGCTCCGATCTGTGATCCTGGAAATGAGGTCAGCGCGGGCTGGGCTGGGACCCCTCCCCCGCCAAGCTCCTTTCCTTCTTTATACCATCCTGTCACCAAGGGCCACCCTGGCCCACCGGGAAGCCTGGGCTTGTAGGTCTCTGTGCCACAGCCCTCCATACCCTGGGAGGGCTCGGCTCGGGGCCCATGGGTCTCTGGGGTCAGGGTCACAGCTCGCACCGGCAGGGCTATTGAGCAGGGTCCTGCCCCGGGGCTGTCGGTGATTCGTGCCAGGTGGGGAAACCGCCGTGTCTAGCGATCACAGCCCTCATCCCTCATGCCTCCCCAGGCCTCTTCAGGGACCTGGCCCTCCTCTCGACCCCGAGGGGCGGAGAGCCCTCCCGGGGAAACGTCCAGCCGACTGGACAGATCCCCCCACCGCCCAATAAAGCAATGGCAGGAGACGCGTGGGGATGTCTGACCCATTTGCCTCCATCCACCTACGTGTGCAGTCCTTCTGGTTCTGGGCAAGGTCAAAGCCGGGCCTGCAGTCACAGGCCACCCCACCTTTGGGCGTCTCCCGGCAGATGTGGGCACAGCCGTGGTCTTTGTTCATGCAGTTCATACCCTCTGGGAAGAGACAGATGAGAGAGAGACACAGAGAGAGAGAGAGAGAGGGGACCGGGGGGAGAGAAGAGAGAGAAAATTTCAGGCTGAAGAGAGGCGGCCTCTAAAACGTCACCATCAAGTGCAGCGTTCTGGGGCCGCCGTTAGCATGTGCACCGTCCGCGCACGGAGGGGTGTGCACCTAGCCGTCCAGCTGGAGAGGTCTTGGGGAGAAACCAGGGGACCCACGGAAGAAGCGGTCCCGCCCTAGGTCGGATTACGGAACCGAGTTCAGGTCGGGGCTTCGGACCGCTTCTCTACTAAAGCAGGCGCGGTGGCATCTCAAACGATGGCGGCAGGCAGCACTCTTCGGATTGCATCGGATGGGCACGCGGCCCTGCGCAGCAGGCGGCTGGGCCCCGAGGGGACGCTGACGGGTCAGGGGACCGCGGCGGGGGGGGGGGGGGGTGGCAGCAGCAGTCAGGAGATGTGTTGTGGCCTGGGAGGTGCCGTCGGCCCCGCGCGGCCACCCCTCACCGCATTCCTGCACGAGTCAGAGGCAGCCGTGCTACTCTCTTGGACCTCAGGGTGGCAGAGGCTCGTCTTCACCAGCCCCACGGCCACGCCCTGACCTACACACCACCGCCCAGATGCCAGAGGGGGGTCTGTCTCTGTCCCCGGTCCCTGCAGCGTGCCCCAGGACCCGAGGAACCCTCACTCCCAAACGCAGAGCCCCGTACGACCTCCGTCTTCGTCCGTATGCCCCTGTACCCCCCTGGAGCCTGTTCCACGTCCCGGGGCACGCGGGTCACCATTGCCACAATCTCAGCCCGAGGCTCCTGCTGGTTGGCAGACGCTACTCTTTCAAGGCAAATGTTTGTAGACCTCAGCTGCCTTGTTCTGCGAAGACTCAGCCCCCCGCCTTGCTCGTTGGGAGGCATCAGAGAGGGGAGCCTGCCCCAGGGTCCTGGGGCCGGGCCACCCCACCACCTGCTTGTGTCCCCACCCTGTAGCTGGAGCCCTGCCCCTGTCGCACCTGCTTGGCGGGCCTTTCCGACTCGTCCTCCCGGCCGGGCTCAGAAGCCCTGTCCCTCACAAGGCCAGCTGTGTTCCTGTCTCCTCTCTTTCCAGGCTCCCCGAGACTCTACTGGGGCTCCAAACCCTAGGCAGGAGCAATGTGCTCGGGCTCCTTGCCCCTATAAAGGCAAGCGCTCCCTTCAGAGGTGGGGAAACCATGCTTGAGACACCGGCCCAAAGGCCCACGGTACGCTGAGAGGCATCACAAGGACGTGGACCAGCACCTCAGACTCTAAACCTCTTTCCCACTCCTGGCCCAGAGGCCTTGTGGAGCGCAGAGAGCTGGGCCACCCTGAGTTTCCAGGGCAAGGACCATGGATCATTCACCTCGAGGCTCCAGAGGCCTGGCCTCCAGTCATTGCTCGCGGAGAGTTACATGGAAATGTTCCCTGAGGGCTCTGGCATAATGGGGACAGTGAGGAGCGCCTGGGGTGGGCCATCTGCCTCTCTCCTCAGTCACCCGTAGTTCCTGGGACATTCTCCCCACCCCGGGAGCCTGACTGGAGTGGCTCGGAACCCCTCCGGTTGACCCCAGTTGATGTTTATCTTCCTGGTGATTTGTGAGGAGTTTCCAGGATTTATGAGGTCACTGGGGTCAAGTGAGAGGTTGTAGGTCACAAGTCCATCAAGAGGCTAAGGGCAGATGAAAGGAGGAGCTGCTGTCCGCCCACACAGCGCCCTGAGACCTTACTTCCAAGTCCTACCCGAGAGGAGCCAGCCTTGGACTGAGGGAAGGAACGCCATGGGCGGGGACACATGGGGGCCTCCCTTCCCCTAGGTGGCCCACGTGTGTGTCAGGACTGGCTCAGTCTTGACCCTGTCCACTTTAAGCATGGGTAGTGGCGGCGGGGGGCGGGCAACTGAGATCTGACATCTATTTAAAAACACAAACACCCTTGGGGCGCCTGGGTGGCTCAGTCGGTTGGGCGTCCGACTTCAGCTCAGGTCACGATCTCGCAGTCCTTGAGTTTGAGCCCTGCGTCAGGTTCTGGGCTGATGGCTCAGAGCCTGGAGCCTGCTTCCGATTCTGTGTCTCCCTCTCTCTCTGCCCCTCCCCTGTTCATGCTCTGTCTCTCTCTGCCTCAAAAATAAATAAACGTTAAAAAAAAATTAAAAAAAACAAACAAACACAAAAACCCTGGCAGCTACAACCAAGATGTATTTAAAAAAAAATTTTTTTTTCAACGTTTTTATTTATTTATGGGACAGACAGAGACAGAGCATGAACGGGGGAGGGGCAGAGAGACAGGGAGACACAGAATCGGAAACAGGCTCCAGGCTCTGAGCCATCAGCCCAGAGCCTGACGCGGGGCTCGAACTCACGGACCGTGAGATCATGACCTGGCTGAAGTCGGACGCTTAACCGACCGCGCCACCCAGGCGCCCCCCAAGATGTATTTTTAAATTTTTATTTATTGGGCGGGCAGAGAGCCCGATGCGGGGCTCAAACTCACGAACCCGGCGATCATGACCCGAGCCGCAGTCAGTAGCTCAACCGACTCAGCCACCCAGAGGCCCCACAACAGAGAGTTTTAAAAAGTCTAAATATCAATAAAATGAAGAAATGGCCACGAGTAAAACCTGCACTTTGCTCAGCGTGCTGACCTGTGGTTTCACCTGACTTGACTACCCATGTTGTTCCTTCACCTCACTTTCCTTACTTATTCCAGGCACGCGGTTGGACAGACGTAGAGCGTGACCAACGACCCAGCAGCGGAACAAACAGGGCTCCTTGTAGGAAGCTTCAAGTTCATCCGGAGAGACAGCCCCTTCCTCTGGCCAAAGTCCACAACAGCACCCGTGCACGCCTGGCGGACGGGGGCGCTGCGCGACGCGGAACCGGGAGTGGGGGTGCAGACGGGGCTCGGGGTGAGCGTTAGGGTCAGCCCGCTGCCGGGGTGCGAATGCCCTAGCATGGCTGACGCCCAGCGCCAGAAGAGGTCCCTGGAGGTGCAGCTGGGGAGCGGTGCACAGCCGGCCCTTGCGAGCCGGCGAGAGCCAGCCTCACCAAGGTGGCATGGCTCTCTTCGGTCACTGCCAAGGCAGCAGCTGTGGGCAGGGGCCTGGCCTCCTTCCCGGTTGCGTGTCTCAGAAAAAATTGCTTCACTTCTTGAGTCTCTTGCGTAAAACGGGAATGATAATCTGTGCTCCACAGACAAGACAGCGTAGGTATTCCGACGCTAGGTCTTTCTATGGGGGCACTGAAGGCCGGGATCTTCTGCGGATCTGGAGAGAGGTCCTCACGGGGACCTTGTCTAGGCCCAGCAGCCCCCCCCCCCCTCGGAGAAGGCTCTCAGTTGAGGGGATCTCACGGGCCACTGAGACATATGCTGTCTCTCATCAAGTCTTCCGAGAGACTCCCGCCTTGGCCAGGGGCCGGCCAGTGGGGGGTGGCCCCCAAGGGGCCTCCCTGACCACCACCACCCTGATGATGGCTCCCTGGCGCCCATGAGGTACAGGGGCTGGTGTTCGGGCTTCTTCCCAGCTTCGTCTCCCTCCGCCTCCTACTCGCACTCCAGCCTGTGATTTCACGCTGCCTGCTGACCGACCCCTGGCACCGCCCCCTCCACGCCCTCGCCCCTCCTGTCTTCCACAAACGAAATCCTAGGCCTGTCTCAAACTGCACCGGTTCCACAGGGCTTCCCGATGGCGACCCCACGCGACCCCCACACCACCACCCTCCGTATTAACCGCCCAGGGCTGTCCTGGGGCTGGCACAGGCAATCGATGCCACTCAAACGGATCTGTGCTTTCTCCCTAAACTGGGAAGAGCCTGAGGGCCCCTGTTTGCGCTCAGGCTCATCTGTGAAGAGAGAGATTCAATTTCCATTCCCAGCCAAAGAAACACGACTCACCAGAAACCCTGCTAATTATCACTAACCATAAATTTGTCACTGGGGAGCGGATGTGGCCTTGAACTTCGGCTGCTAAACCGAGTTCAAGGCTTTAGAAGTCCCTCAGCTTTTTCTTCCACTGTGGCCTTGCAATCAGGCAGTCTTTCTTTCTGAGAATCCAGACTTAAAAATGAGCCACGCTGTTGCTGTTTCGCTGGCAAAGGATAATTTGGGGGGTGATCCGGAGTTCCAGTCTAAGTCGACGTGGAAGCAGTGAAACTGGGGCTGGAAGGGCGGGCCCCAAACCCCACCAGTGATGGGCTGACCTCAAACGTGTCCACTTCAGTGGCCTTGGCAACTGTGGGAGAGGCAGGCGAGACCCCCGTCTTCCGCCTAAAGTCCTGAGTGAGGTCAGGGGACCCACCGCGGACTCCCCACCCAGGCTCCGAGGCACGGGGCACTTCTCCTCCAGCCGAGCGCAGGGCCAGTGCTGGGTCGTCAGCGGAGAGGGCTTTGGGACCGCTTTACGTTTCTGACCGTTACACGGGAGCCTGCGAGCTTCTGTTCACGTGTTGACGTGCTATAGCTGCTAACATCTGCTATCCTGGAAACTAAATGGGGCGGTTTGTATTTGTAAAAATAGAAACTGAAAATCTATCACATGTTAACATTAACACATTTTTTAATTAAAAACGATACTTTCCAAAACAAGGGGAGAGTTGGCTGAGAGGAGAGTCATTGCGGAGGAGAATGGGGTGGGTGCTGACTCCTGACCTTGCTGTTGGAACCCCTGGGGGTGCAGGTGGGCCTGAAGCTATGTCCCCATCCCCCATCCATTCTCAGGCACTCATCACCTCTCGCCTCTGCTGGGGCAAGGGGGTGTCTCTGTCCCTGCACCTGCCACAGACTGGATGCTACAGGAAACGGTCAACCCGTGAGGTGCCCCATAAGGTGTTCGCTCCATAAGGCCAAATGCCACTGCGTCCCTTCCTCCAGGAAGCCTTCCTCGGACCCCAGCCTCACTCGCAGCACTGACACGGTGGCCAGATTTCTCCTCTCTGGGCTCAGCATGACTCTCTGGCCGGGCCCTGGGGGCAGGCTGAGCTCTGAGCC